GACAGACTTCCCTCTAATCTTAACTTCTCTCTGTGACCCAGCTGAGCCTTTTCTTATGTCTCTTGTTCCCTTCTTACCTGTTTGACCAATCTTAGCATGCCCATAAGGAAACTGAATTGTAACAGAAAAAAAAAACCTGAACTGAAACCTTAAAGACATGTGAATTAAAACTGCAATTTAGCAAGAGGACTTACTTCTGCTGGGGACTGCCAAGCCCTTTGCAAACTTCATCTCATTTGATCCTTTAAGGAGATGAGAGTTGTCTGTATTTGGAAGGTAAATAAACAGAGCATCACAAAGGTCAGAGGCTTGTCTACATTTGCTTAGCTAGTTATGGGCAAAGAGACATCCAAAACCCAAGTGCTTGATTTGTAAATTGCATTTTCTTAACTACTCCCCCTCCACCCCACTTAGAGACAGTTTCTTCGTTGTCCCAAAGCCCTGAGAAGTGTCTGATCCCTTTGCATTTAGTGAGCCCCTTTGACCACTGGAGTTTGCTGCACTCTGCCTTTAGTTTATTATAATTGTCCCCACCCAAAGGGTAGAGCCCAGGAGCTTGGCTAGAAGGCCTTGTTCTTCCCCGCACCCTGGAGCGTGCATTGTATAGTCCACACCTCTCCTGGGCATCTCCAGTTTGCCTAGCTGCTGGGCTATCAGTGAGATCAGGTATCAGCCTAAATCTCAGAGGATATGAAAATGATGCCACACCAGACTGTGTGTACTGAAGCAGGGAGAGGAGACAGGGCTGCATCTGGCCGTCATGGGAGATTTGACTGAGGGGCCTGAGGTGGGTCAGAAATATCCCTCCCTCCTCCAGGGAGGGAGACAGAAGAGAGATACACAGCACAGGCTTCAGTGTGGTGGGATTCAAAGGCTGGTGCTGTCCAGAAAGCCCTGGTTTTTCCCCCAAGTCATTGATAGGCTCTGTGACATGGACTAAGACATTGCATTCTCCTTCTTTTTCTTCTTCCTCCCTCCCCTCCTCCTCCTTCTCAAGACAGGGTTTCTCTGGCTGTCCTGGAACTCGCTCTGTAAACCACAACGGCATCAAACTCACAGAGATCCGCCTGCCTCTGCCTCCCGAGCGCTGGGATTAAAGGCATGCACCTTACTTTTGAGACAGCCTCTCAGTGAGACCTGCAGATGGCCATTTTGAAACTAGGCAACTGACCAGTGAGCCTCAAGGATCCTCCTGTCCCTGCCTCCCCAGCTCTGGGTATTCAAGCATGCACCACCATGCCCAACCTTTTATGTGAGTGTTGGGAAGCAAACTTCAGGTCCTCATCCTTGAGCAACAAGCACTTCACCAACTAAACTGAGCTATTGCTGTAGCACTCACCCCACCCCTCATTTTAGCCATTACTGCTGTTCACTGCGAGGAACTTCTTCATTAAGTTTAACATGATTCCATTTTTGCTGCCAGTTATGTTTATCCTGTTGCTCTTGAAGACACATGGGTATAACCAGAAGGGCCTAGGCTAAGTTGGCATTTCCCCCTAACCAGTAAAAGGACTATGGTCCTTATCCTGAGGGTGGAGATGTACGTATGTATGTATGTATGTATGTATGTATGTGCATAGCACTTGCATAAATGCAAAGTTTAAAAGAGCTTCTTCGTTGATTTTTTTTTTAAGATCTAGCATTGCTTTGTTCAAAGGAGGTTTGGTACCCTGTTTACTAATACTTGTAGTGCTAGAAGTGAATCCCTTTTGGTCTGCCTTTTGGATTGTCTAGTGCGCATGTCCGGAACTGACAAGTTGTTTCAGGGAAGCACTTTAGTTCTGGCCTCTTGGCCCCTGAGCCAGGCCCTGGGACCAGGCTGGGCCAAGCACCCTCCCTCTATTAATAGGTAAGTGACTGTTCAAAGGGCTCTAGTGAGATCTAATGGTCCCCATACAGAGCCAAGGTGGAGAGCCCAGATCGTGCTATCAGCTGTTTCCAGCCAGTAGCTTTTCATGCTTTTTCTCCTAGCTGCTGCTTGGGAAACAAGGGGTGCGGGGCTGCTGTCACTTGGTTTCATTGCCAGCGACCGGAAGTAATGTCTTTTACCTGATCGGCGACTTGACATGGCTGCTTAACAACCCGATTAATCAAACCTAGCTCATCCTGTTAGAATTAATGAGCCTAGGAAACGCTGCCATGAATAATGAGGGCTTTGCCCCTCCCCCAGCACCTCTCTTCACTCGCCCCTCCCATTTCCTTCTCACAGCCATAGCACAGATACTCAGCACCTCAGGGAGTTTGAGTTTGCTACGCATACCGAAAGGCCTGCAAACGTGCACAACTCCTATCTCCTCTTCGCTGCCAGGCATCACAGAACCCGAGACTGGCTATGTCCTGGAGAAGTAAAGTGTCTCGTTCAACACACCGGAAGTCCATGATCAGATGCCAAAGTCAGATTGTTGTCTTATGGTACCAAGTGCTAGGAATGTAACGTTGTGCAAAATACTGCCCTGTGAGGGGGTCACAGTGCAATGACCTGGAGACTAATGGGGAGTGCCATGAAATGGGGTTGGGAAAGGCCACAGTGAAGAGAAGCTATCTGTGATTGAGGAGCAGCGTGGGGAACTAGGTGATATTTTATGATGCTGGATACCTGAGTATCTCTGCTACCTCTGGTGGTGGTGGTGCACGCCTTTAGTCCCAGCACTCAGGAGGCAGAGGCAGGCAGACCTCTGCGAGTTCTAGACCAGCCTGGTCTACAGAGCTAGTTTCAGGACAGCCAGCCAGGGCTACATGAAGAAACCCTGCCTCCAAAAACAAACAAAAGTGATGAACATGGTTCCTATTCTCATAGAGTGGACAATGCACAAGCCTAGGATGACATTTGGTTTATTTTTTTTTTCATTTAATCATTCAAACACAAAAGGTTGCCAAGTGCTTTTCACTGTAGGGCTTAGCACCAGGGAAAGGGTGTACAAAGATGTAAACCTTGCCCCTGCCTTCCAGGGGTCCTCTGAAGGGCAGATCCTGGTGGTCGTGAGCTGGGTTCTCTAAGGTGACATGCTAAATTCATCCAGTAAAGTCGTCTCAGGAGAAGTCACGGATGACTCCCTGCTGGAAGTGGCATTAGAGCCATCTGAAAAACAAAATGAACCACTTGAGTAACTGAGGACTTCACACAAGCCGAGATTAAGGTTTTGTATAGGAGTTGAAAGGGAAAGATGATTGCAGAAATCGTAAAAAGGAGATGGCTGGTTCTGTAGTCTACAGTGAAGAATGTGACTAAAGATGCAGATGGGTACACTTAGGGACCAGAAGATCCTGGGCTCGCTTATCCGTGGTTGAGAAGGCGTAGTTTCCTAACTGATGAAATATTCAAGTTAGCAGGGAAATGGCTCACGCGGTCCTATCCCAAATGTAGTATCAGGAACTGGGCTGGGCATGGGTCCTTTGATAGGAGTGACACAGAAGAGCTGAATCCAGAACGAGCGATCTGGACTGGAAGCATAGGGAGCCAAGGAAGAGCAAGACTCAAGAGCAAAGGCCCGAGTAAGATCAGAGGGGATGCAGAGCCCAGGTGTTAAGGTCCCGAGGAAACATGGAAGAGCTGAGTCACTGGGGATTTAATGAGCAAAGAGGGTGGACAGGCAGCTGGGAAGGACAAAGAAGGCGAAGAAAGACAGAGCCAAAAAGGGGAGATGGTAGCCGGGCAGTGGTGGCACATCCCTTTAATCCCAGCGCGTGGGAGGCAGAGGCAGGCGGATCTCTGAGAGCTCGTGGCCAGTCTGGTTTACAGAGTGAGTTCCAGGACAGCCAGGACTACCCATAGAAACTCTGTCTTAAAGAGCAGGAAAAAAGAAAAAGAAAGGGAGAGGGAGGGGAGAATAGCTGGTGAGGTTCACAGAGGTTCCTTGGTGTCACCTATCCTGACACCATCTAACTTGGCCAGATTTGTTTCCCAGATTCCAATGCTCCTAAGCTGGTCTTTTGTCCTTTGCCCCAAAGTTGGCTGGAGAAACCCAGGGCTTCGGCAAGGACGTTAGCCAACCTCCACAGTCCCCAGGACTCAGGCCTGACCTGCATTTCTTTTCCATTCAGGGACCCTCCTTGGAAAGCATCATTGAGAAGGCCAGTGTCTTTGCAGGGAATACAAAGGCTCGTTCTATGGACTACAGGCATCCCTACACTTGGTCAGGGTGACCCAGGTGGCATATTTTTAAACTGTTACAATCAGGCTGATGAGAAGTTTTAGAGAAAGATTCCCTGAAGGACTAAGGGGGGTCTGTACGGGGTCCTAGGTTCAATCACCAATACTACAACTACAAAATCTATCAGATTCCCTCATCTGTAGATGGCTGGAGATGGTGGAGGCTGTCCTGGTTTTGATCTGTATGCTCCAAATCACTCCTGTCTCCACCAGCATATTTCTGTCATGTCACCTCTCTAGCCCTGTGGGAAGTCGGGTTTGGTTGAGTCTCCAAAGAGAAACTTGTGGAGCCTACCACCCACCATTGAACTACAGAAGGCTTCTGTGGGCATCCAAAGTCTGTGTGTGTGTGTGTGTGTGTGTGTGTGTGTGTGTGTGTGTGTGTGTGTGTGTGTGGTGTGTGTGGTTTTTGAGACAGGGTTTCTCTGTATTGTTTTGGAGGCTGTCCTGGCACTTGCTCTGTAGACCAGGCTGGCCTCAAATTCTCAGAGATCCACCTGCCTCTGCCTCCCAAGTGCTGGGATTAAAGGAGTGTGCCACCACTGCTTGGTGACATCCTAGATCTTAAGCAGTTCAAGAAGCATTGTTTTGTATATTTTCAGGTAGGAGGAAGATCTCAGAACTGGTAGTTTAGCTGACTAAAGCTGCTTGGCTTCTATGGTGGGAATGTTGGGGTCGAGGCCTCTTCAGTAGACTCTGGTGCCTCCAGACAGAGCTTGTGGCCTGGATGGAGTGGCCTTATCTGACCTTTGAGAGTGGCTCAAATCAGGGTTTCCATATCCATCCACCTATCTATCACCTGCTGGACTGAGGCTCTAGGCTTATCATATTCCTTCTTTTTCTCCCACAGGGAGAGCTGCTAAGCCCATGCCGCTGTGACGGTTCAGTCAAATGTACCCACCAGCCGTGTCTCATCAAGTGGATCAGTGAAAGGGGCTGCTGGAGCTGTGAGCTGTGTTACTACAAGTACCATGTCATCGCCATAAGCACAAAGAATCCTCTGCAGGTAAATCCAGGCTTCCCTCATCACCTGCTTTATAGTAGGGGATTACTGAACCTCAGATTCAGGGCAGCTTGGTGACTAGGAGCCTCACAGTCAGAAGAGGAGGAAAGATGTTCTTTCCCCTTAAGTCTAGACAAGATGGGGAAGGGTTGGGCAAAGAGAAAAATATACGACATACAAGGAAAGTGGTCAGGGGAGATGGATGGAAGAGACAGAATAAGTAACAGATGGGTTAATGAGAAGAGGAAAGGTAGGAAAGAATGGGAAAAGAGAAAAGGGGAAGGAACAGAAAGACAGGGAGGGAGGGAGGGAGGGAGGGAGGGAGGGAGGGAGGGAGGGAGGGAGGGAGGGAGGGAGGGAGGGAGGGAGGGAGGAAAGAGAAAAGCAAAGACAAAGAGAACAGGTAGGTGACTAAGGATACATGGTGGGAAAGGTTAGGCTTGAGTTAAAGCCAAGGGCTTAAAAAGAAACTGTAGACGATGGCTCAGCGGTATTCTCCAGACTTTAATGTGCTTGTGATTCAGCTAGAGTCTTAGCAAGTGGACTTCAATTCACTGGTCTACAGCAGGCTCTGAGAGCCTGTATTGCTAACAAGCTATGGGGGATACTCCTGCTGGCCCACAGACCACACTTTCTGTAACAAGGGACAGAGTGGGAAGGAATGGAGAAGAAACAGCTAAGAGGGCCAAAGAAAATGGAGGAGGGGTTGTGCCTTAAGGAAGAAGAAGCCGCGATGGCAGAGTAACAAAAGCCTGCCGTGAGAGGTAAGGGAAAGCAGCCCCAGAGCTAGACTAGGGACCTGTCAATCAGATTGGCAGAACTCAGGGCTCTCTCTGCCCACCCTCTCCTCTCTCTCTGCTGACACAGCCATCTTCACTCCAATTGCTGGCAGGTCCCGTGCCAACCAGTCACATCAAACAGTTTAGCAGTGACGACAGTACGCATGCCCCCCTCCACACTCACACCATGCTGCTTCTGAAAATCCCTCCACACACACATCATCTGTCAGGAAGCCATGTAATCAATTAGCCAGCAAGACAGTGAGGACGGAGACCACAGATGCCTGATACTCTCGCTCCTCTGTGAGTGGGGCAGAGTCAACCTTGCAAATCCAAGAGGGCTGGGAGTGGGTGATTGTAGTAGGGTCTTTGCATTGAGCAGCACTTAAAAACATGTGGAGTTCCCTGTAGCATTCTCCATGGAGCAACTCTCAGGAATTCTCGGGGGGAGGGAAGCACCGGATTCCCAGGCATCTCAGACTCTTGACAGGGAGCCCCTCCTGACTGCTGTTCTGTCTTCAGTCATTCGTCTCAGATCCTGAGGCATCTTAAAATAGCAGTGCAAGCAACAGCTGATTCCGTGTCCTCAGGGTGCAGTGGAGGTTTGAGTGCATTAACCTGCTCCTTTCTTTACAGCTGACTCAGGCCTCAGGAAAGGCCAGATCCAAAATCTATGAACTCACCCCAAGACACCCCCATCTTGGTTCCACCTTTGACTCGTGTAATGAAAAAATCATTCAGGTATAGCTTTTCCCTTGGAGTAAAGAAAAGGTTATTTTAAGTCTGCATCACGTAAGCAAATGGCAGTGCAGGCAACATCAGTCTGTTAATCTATTTCCAAGTTACTACGCTGACTTCAATCATGAGTTTCTAGGCAGTGGGGACCCCTGTGCTTCTGTTGATCCTGGAAATGCAATGGTGTGTACTCAGCAAATGCCAGTTCATTTTTCTGTCTAGAAACAGTTTAGACTTGAAGCTGTGCTGTTTTGTTGTATCCTAAATTATTCCAAGTGTGTGTCCTGGGCTTCTCTGGCCTGGCTAAGTGTGACACAATTGCCTGTTATGCCACAGTGGTCACCCTCAGTGCAAAAAGCCCAGCTGAACTATCTGCAGTAGAGGTTGGAGCTGTAAGACCTGTCTAGAAACCAACAGAGCAACGGATAGGGTTCTGCCATCATAGCTGGGAGGTACCTTTTCACATATCTTAGCTCTCTCATCTCCTGGTTTGTATCCCAGACAAAGACAGAAGAAATAACTCAAGTCTTCACTATAGGGCATCATATTAGTGACATTCTCAAAGTAAAGTTTGTATCTAGAATATCTACTAAGAAAGCAGTCATAGTCTAGTAGGTCTCAAGGTTCCATTGACTGCTTCTCACCTTGTTTTTTCATACCTCTGAATGGAAATTTCATTAATTCTATCATCCCATGGCTTTAATTAACCATGGCCAACTGCAACCAAAAATATTGAAAGGAACATTCGAGAAAGGATAACTTTTAATTATGTATTATTGTTCTGAGTAGAGTGAAAAATTTATAACTCCTGGTCTATCCTACCTAGGGTATGAGTCATCCCTTTGTGCATCCATTCAAGCTGTATATGCTGTTTATCCATTGGTTACTTAGGAGCCATCTTGACTATCAGATCAACTGGCATGAGGCAGCACAGTACTTGGATACAGGGCCCACTACCATCTTCAGGTATCTTCTGGGGGCTTGGAATGCGTCCTCCTTAAGTGAAGGAAGACTATGATATATGAATAAACATTCACTTTCTGCTTGTTAAGTGTCAGTTCGCACGTATGTATTGTCAAGTTTAATCCTGGAAACAACTCAATGAAGTGAGTGCTATTATTACTCGATGCACAGGGTTAGACAATGGAAGCACAGAGGGATTTGTGAACTTGCTCAAGGCTGCACAGCTATGAAGCAGAAGAGCAGGTTGCTGTCTGCAACAGGAATCCCTGAGTCCATACACCTGTCCTCTAATATAATACCCAGGCGCATGTACATACATAGGTTTACCCCTGCCTTGACAAGTTCATCTGTCTTTACTGAAACAGTAAAGAATGCCCTTCATGCTCTGGCTTCACATTTAACACTCACAATACTCTAGGAAATAGACACCAATTACTTCTGTCTTTCAAGAAGGGAAAAGTGGCAGTCATTGTGATTTATTAACTTCTTGTTCATGGCCAGTAAGTTTGGGGAAAACGCTCAATCAGAACGAGGTCCTCTGACCCCTTACTTGCTGTCCCTTCCTGGTTGAAGGGACAGAATTCCCTCTTGGCACTCTACACTTGTCTCTTCACTCCCTGGTGCCATAGCACTGGAGTTCACAGGGGTAAAGTCATAGGATCTGGGGACCAGAACGTCAATGAGAATGAGATCCTGATGTTCCGAGTGGTTGGTGGCAGCAGGGCTCGGGACCACTGATGCCCTTCTCCACTGCAAGCCCTCCTGACAGATCCCAGGGCTCTCTGCTCCTCAGCTCTCTCCTTAAGGTACCTCCTCCCGTTCCATTTCCATGGAGCCTCTCACAGGATGGGAGAGTTTCTTGTGGACAGCACCTCATCCTCATCCTTCCTCATCACACTCACTTTGGTCAGGAGCTCCAGTAGGGGGCTTGGGGTGGGAAGGAGGGTTATTGGGATAAAGAGGACTTTTCTAAACCTCTATATCATTGGGATTATGACTGAAGAGGAGAAGGTAGGGATGCCTAAATAGTAGAAACAAACAAACAAAAAATCTCCTTAGAAACTGTCTTCTAGACAGTGGGGGATTGGCTCTGGAAAAAGCATTTATTGTACATGAGGGAAGTCTATACGATAGGGCCAGGGCCGTCTTCTGGAAAATGTCTTTGTTATGTGTAAGCCTAGGCTGGGGAAGCACTGGAAAATTTAGAGGGCTAATTCTCTGTAATGGGATGTGATCTGTGTAATTAAATGTTAAGGCCCATGTCCTACATCCGGACTAAAAGTGAGATGTTTTCCAATACTTACTGTTCCTTGGAGGTGAAAGGAAGTGTGGCTCTGCAGGCCTTGTCCTTCTCTCCCATTCTCTTTGTCTTGCTAAAACAAACAAACAAAAAAAATCTGGTAAATACATTCCTAAAACTAGCTCCCAAGGTCTATCCCTTATTTGGCCACTTCCGCCTCCTGGGGCTGACCACCAAGATCCTGGTATCAAAGTATTGAGGCCTAGCAATAAAAAAAAAACCCTTTGGTTCACCTAATTTAACATGCCAACTTAAAATTAAACACCTCATCCTAACACGGGTTTCCCCTTGTACCTTTATAAACTGCCGTTTGTTTATGTGCCATGTCTGTCTCCTCTCTATCCAGAACCAATCTTTGTCCCTCTGGGACAAAAGCCCCTGACCCCTTTCCCTTGTCCCCTTCTCCCTCATCCCCTGTCTCCTTTACCACCATGTTCTAACACAGACCTCCCCTTCTTCCTCTCTTAAAATTTACACCTGCAAGGTCATTTGCTGCTGTTTTCTGCCTGAGTCAGAAAACTAACTTTTCATCCCCACTTAACAAAGGATCTGTCTGTGAAAACAGATATTTGGGTATGGTTTGTGCCTAATCTGGGGTCCAGGAGGAAGTCCCTACTGTTTAGGAGTCTTCCTTCAGGAGGCCACCGGCCTATTCTATCTAGGCCAATGACAGCAAGAGGAGGGATCCCCATTGGCAGGTGGAAGGCACTATGCCTCTCTGTTGTGTGTAAGCCACAATGGTTTCTGGGAAAGTTCCCATGGAACGATGCAGATCCATGATGGATTGCATATATAAATTCTTAGAGTTATGTGCACCATCGGGCAAGGGTCTTGTCCAGTTTTGTCTGGTGCTTTAGCTCCAGCACCTAGCATAGCGGCCAGACACATAGTCAATACGTACTTGCTAAATGAAACAAGCCTAAACCAAAATCTTTCTCAAGGCTAATTTAGGACATTACTCCATAGATAAAGCATATAATCATAAAATTCCATAGCCAAAACTCACCCACACTCCAGTTTCTATCTCAATACTGTTATAAGCACACTTTTTTCTTTGAAAAATAAGGGGTTAAAATATAATTGGTTTATTGTGAGCTGTTTTTTTCTTACTCCCACATCCCATGTCCTCTCCTTTGTCAAATTGTTGATCTCCAACATGCATATTAAATGGCATGCAAGGTGGTGTTGTAGAAACAACATAAAGCAGTCAAGAAAGACCTCTTGGCACCTATTAGTGAGAAAAACAACTGTGTTTCTCTGAAAGGAATATTCTGGCTCCTTGGAACAACACCCACACTAGCTCTTTGTTTTCCTTCTTGACTTCGAATTTCTATATCTATGAAAGTATAAGGGTCTCCTCCTCAGCCATGCCTGCCCAGAGCCTCCTTACAATGATGTCTGATCATTTTAAACGACACAGGTTCCCTCTGCATCAAATATATAATATGATTCTGCAAGCCTGTCCATTGTACTACAAGTAGAGAAGCCCTGGATTAAACTCTATACCAGTGAGCTATTGGAGCAGTAGTAATACTGTGGGAATGGCACAAAGACAGCTGACTGGACAAGGGGGGGCTCTTGAACACCAGACTGACAGCTAAGAGGCCAACAGGGGACTGATCCAGACTCCATGAAGGTAGTGTCAGTGAGGAGGCCTCAGAAATCTCTGGGGCTTTAGGTAGTAGACTACTGTTCACCATGGCATACAAATGAACTTTGGGAGCCCATTCTACATGGAGGGATGCTCTCTCAGCCTGGACACATGGGAAGGGCCTAGGTCCTGCCCTGGATGGAATGACAGACTCTGGAGATCCCCCCAAGGAGGCCTCATCCTCCCTGGGGAATGATATGAGGATTGAGCTGGGGGTGGGGAGGTGGGGGTGGGGCTGGTGGAAGGAGAAGGGGGGGAGCCGGGCTTGACATTTGAAGCATGCATGTTTTTAATTTAAATAAAAAACATACATAAAATAAAAGACTGTGGGAATGGGATTCAGGCACTCAAGCAGCTAATCTGTCACTCTCTCCTCCCCAGTGGCAGGCCATATCCCTGACAGTCATCGAGAAGGTTCAGATTGCAGCTGCCATCTTGGGTTCTCTCTTCCTCATCGCCAGTATCTCTTGGCTCATCTGGTCGACCTTCAGTCCCTCAGCAAAATGGCAACGCCAAGACCTCCTCTTCCAAATCTGCTATGGGATGTATGGCTTCATGGATGTGGTGTGCATAGGTGGGTATGGGGTATTGTCTCCATGAGGGGTAATAAGCTACACGGTAATGAAATGGCAAGATCCTTCAGAATCCCTTCTACTTGGAGGCCAAGCAGAGAAGAACTGGGCTTGAGACCCATGATCTAGGGTGAGACTATAGCTTTGTTGTAAGAGGTGGGTGGGAAAGGAATGGTGGGAGCATAGCAAAGAAGATAAATTGAAATCATTTCCAAATAACTCTGTCTTGTCCAGTTGAAGACAAAACGAGGCTTGCCTCTGAGGTAAAGAAGGTTACTTGGTGAATTCATCTGCCTTAGGCAGGGAGTGGAAGGCTTCTCAGTTGCACAACCTATAAGTTGACATGGCATGCCTATATAACAAAAACACCCAGAAGCAGCCATGGAACAACTATATTTTCATTTTTATGATCACATGTGAATGAATACACATACATACACGTATAAGTGTGCGTGTGCACAGCACATGTGTTTGGGGGCGTCAGAAGACTACTTTGGGTGTTACCCTCAGGTGCCTTCCACCTTTAGTTTGAGACAGGGACTCTCATCGTCCTGGAACTTTGCCACGTAGTCTAGGTGAGTCAGGAGGATCCAGGGGTCTACCCATGTCCACCTCCCTTCTCACCATTTCTGGAATCACAAGCATGCTACCACCCCTGGCTTTTCACCTGGACTCCGGGAGTCAGAATTTAGTTCCTCGCACTTGTGGAGCAAGCCCTTCTACTAAACTAAGCCATGTCTTTGGCCCCGGCCCTTCTCTTCTTCTTTAAGACTGTCCTAGGATCCCAGATTTTGCTGCTCTAGTGGTTTGCACTGTATGTGTAGGGCTGGGGTTCCACGCAGCCCCATTTGGGAGTAAGAAATAGAATGCTGTTCTGAAGCCTCATCCCTGCTTCATTCCAGGTAAGATTTTGCTTGAAAGGCTTCAGTGTTTTAGGAAAAAATTAGGACCCACCCATTTCTCTAGCTTCACTACCTAGTCCTCAAGTCAACATTTCTCCTCTTTTCTACCATAGTCGGTGGAGGGTTGGGTTCTTTCTGTTTCAACAGATGATTGTGAATATTGATTGAAAGGTTTGCCCCCATGCAAATGAGGAGGTGGAAATGGCCCTGGTTATTCTGAATGAAGCATGCTTAAACACTGGCCATACAGCCTCATCTGGAATTCTCATTGTATCCCCAGGTCATAGTACTGGGAGCATGAAAGTAACACGATGCTCTTCTCCAACAGTGGTGTATTACATCAAATATGCTACACTTCTCTGTCTGACAGGAAAACATCTCCTGGCTATAATTTGGCTGAAATGATGGTGATGTGAACTTCTTAGGGGTCATTTAATATTAGGAGTTGAAAATACCTGGAGACTATCCTACTGATCACAGAAGCCATGGCTGATCACAGTAATGCCGGACCTTGTGTGCTTATCTAAGCAAATACATTCTGTCTCCCTTTGCTAGCTAATTCAGTATATCAACCCTGAGGACAAAGGTTAATTTTCTTATTTTTCAGACTGTGAAATCTTGAAAGGTTTATCATAGGCTAACTCAGCAGGAAAGTAGGACCTATGGTTCAGTGCTTTCCCAGGACTGGCTGACTGAGCATAGTGAATGCTGGGAAGTGAAATAAAACAGAGAGAGTCATGTGACCTAGACACAGGAGCAGGGAGTGATGGACAGCAGTGAGAGGCCATAAACAGATTCCCGTGGTGGCTGTGATGACGACGGTGGCTGTGACGATGGCCAATGGTGATGCTGGTGGTTGTAAGGGTAACATTAAGTATCAGTTGCTCTTCCTCTGCTGTACAATCTCTAGCAGTATAGGTAAGCTGGGTGGGTGTAAAAATATAGGGGCTTTGTGAAGGAAGGATCAAACGAAACCTGCAGTATTCACCAGCAGTGTTTTTATTTTTGGTCTCAACTCGGCTTCACTAGAAAGCAAACTTGGCATCTGTCTACGGAATACAAGATGACAACTCAGGCTCTCTTCTGTCGGAGAATTCTCACAGCGTTCCACTTCCATATGCTTCTGAGTCCAGGCTCATCCCTTGGCTCAAAAGCAAAATGAGATCCACAATGTCTTTGCAGGGTCAACCTGAGCACAGTTTTCAGACCCTCTGGAAATGCTGTTTGGGAAAAAAACTGTTGAGTAAAAGAATCCATATTCAACAGGCCGAAACTACCTGTATTAAGCAATGTAGAACCTGGGTAAAAAAATATATTGCTACAAGACAAGAAAATAAGCCCAGGACAGGGTTGGCTCAAAGGGGATAAGGGAAGAGTCAAACCATCTGCTGCTGTAAGCTTCTGGATTTTTCTGTTTTCAGACATCAGCAACACATTGTTCCTTAACTCTGCTAAATAGCCACAGACAGTAAAGACGTGTGTGAGCACTAAATGGATAGTTCTTAATGTATGGATCTTCTAAAATAAATTTACTTCTCTGTTGGCAGAGTGTGATGAGGGTAATGTGACAGTTCAGGATGGTGTGGGGACTCTGTGGAGAGATTCCACTGGAATCAGAGAGCAAACACTGTTTACTGCTTGTGAAACCAAGTTTGTCTCAACTGTAGCTATATCTACCCAGCTGGCTTTTAGGAGCATTGGTAACCACTGACAAAACCCAGAGTAATGATTCTCTCCAAGAATGGTCTTCAGTTCTCATCAAAGGACTTTGCCTGAAGTGGCTGCCAGGGTCTCCAGGTTCCCTATCAGCTGCAGCATATCTCCAGGGTTGAGGCCAGTGACATTGGATGTGAGCATACTGATGGGTAATGCATTTCATGATACAAACTGTCCTGAAAGACCAGGCACCTCTGGGTTTAGAGTCTAAAGCTCCTAGACCAGTGGTTCTCAACATGTGGGTCATAACCACCCTGACAAGTCTGTCACCAAAAAAAAAATTTACATTATGATTCACAACAGTAGCAAAATTACTATCATGAAGTGGCAACGAAAGTATTTTTTTATGGTTGGGGTCACCGCAACATGAGGAACTTATTAAAGGGTCATGGCATTAGGGAGGTTGAGAACCACTATCCTAGACCAATGTATACTACTTTGAAAACCAAATATTAGTTACTGAGAACACAACAAACCAACAAATCCCTTTAAAAAGTAATAGAGCACAACAATGTTGAAGAAAGTTTTTGTCCCATCCTGGTCCTGCAACTATTAGCACCAAATAAACATAAGGAGGCTATATTAGTTATTAAGCTGTTGGCTGATGACTAGGGCTTCTCATCGGCTAGCTCTGCCTTAATTATTAACCCATTTCTATCAATCTAAGTATTTCCATATGGTCTTATCTTACCGGAGAAGGGTCTGAACCTATTACTCCTTTGGCAGCTTACATGGCAACTGCTCTGGTGGGCTCTCCTGCATACCTTTCCCAGAATTCTCCTCATCTCCTAGTCCCACCTATCTTCCTGCCTCATTTGCCAATTAGTGTTTTATTCTTCAACCAATAAGAGAAACATATATACAGAAAGACATTCCCCGTCACAACAACTCTCCGATGATCAGAGGGGTGAGTACTTTGCTCCATATTTCCCAGGCTAGTGCAGCCCTAGAGCAACTGTACTCTAGGTCACACAGCTAATCACACAGTGGAGTTGAGGGTGGGACCAAGAACCTCTGGCTCTAATTCCAGGGCACTTCCTATGGTCTGTTTTTTCTAAACAATTATTTATTCATGTATTTTATGTATATGGGTACTTTGCATGTACATCTGCTTATCAGGAGACAACATCAGATAGTTATGAGCTGCCCTGTAGGTGCTGGGAATTGAACTCAGGACCTTCAGAAGAGCAGTAGGTGCTCTTCATCTCCTCTATGGCCTATTTTATCTCTGGTTGTTCTGTGAAATTATACTTACCCGTTAGAGATGATCCTTAACCTAGCAACATTGTAGCATAGCGGACTTCAAAGGAGGCAGAGATTAGCCCAAACATAACCATCACAACAATTAGAAGTCTTCTGGGCCACATCTGCTCCAGTTTTTTGTTTGGGATTCAGTCAGGCAGCCACTGTTATACCTTTTTAAAAAGTCAGTGCTGTTTTTATGCCAATGGAAAAAGGGGCTTTAGAAATTAGGATGAAATTTGGATAGCCTATCTGCCTATGATATCCTCTGGAGAAGGGTATTTTAGGTTAGGTAAATCTAATTCTACTGATTAACATGGACTTGGGAAATCTATTCATTTATTCACAAACATTCCTGAGAGAGCATTGAATAGACACACTCAAGCACAAGAGGCTTCGGTTCTGGTGGATCTTAATCTCCTGGAGGGAAGTGATCACAGACACTCAGAAATCAGCTTGTGCTGGGGCATGAATACAGACATGAGTTCCAGGAAGGCGAAAATGGTTCAAAGGGCTTGGGGTGCCTGTATCTATTTCTTCAGTACAATCTGCTGGCTGCCTTGTTTTCTCCCCAAATCAAGAAACATGAAAGGGAGATGAATGAGACATATCCGTCCAAGGGTTCAGTCTCAAGCACAGGATAACTACTATGGGAAGATGTCTATCAGAGGCAGAGAGGAAGATCGGACAGAGCGGACAGCAATGAACTCTCTTGAAGACCCCAAGAGACTTGTTGAGAGAACCTTACCCTTAAACCAGTTACAAAGGGGAAATCAAAGTTTATTCAAAAGAGGGAGAAGAATATTCTAGGCAAGGGGACTTGTCTGTGTGGAGACATAGAGTGAGCAAGGTATGCTTAGGAAACTAAGTTGGTTTGTATGGTTCGATGGCAAAGAGCCAGAGGAGGAGCAATGAGTTTGGGGAAGTTGGTAGAGGCCAAATCCCACAGGGCCGTAAGTCGTGTGTGAAGAATTTGGATACTACTCTACTTAGGATGCGGAAGCAATGATAGAATTTTACATAGGACACTCTGACTAAACATACATTTTAAAACCTGTAAATCTAGCACCTATGGGAAGCATAGATCAGAGCTGGGCAGATTGGAAGTAGGAGGGACTGGCTGAGAAATGCTTGTGATAATC